CTTGAGGATAGTTAAAGTTCTTGATTTCTTGGTGTTGAGCGACATGCCCACACGCTGTATTCCTCTGCAGAGGCCATCCAATTTCCTCTGGACCTGATCGGGGGCATCGGCCAGCAGAATCAGATGGTCCGCATATGCTATGGCTCCAATCCGTTCCTCCCCCCATGTAATCCCGATGTCGGGAAGTGGCTCTTCGATCACCTCTCCCATCGCCAGGATGAGGGGATGAGGAGATCCTAAAAGAGTCATAGTTACTCCCGTCGTTTACCCGCACTTCATGGTAGGCTGTACAGCTGTGTGGTGGTGTGGTGTACTCAGCACAGGATGACTCTTACAACACTGCAGTGACACGGGAGTAAATAAACTGCTCAGAGTTCAAACTGAAGCAGCTCAAAATTTTAGAAAGGCCAAGCCGGAGTCCTGACCTCAATCTGGAGTCTGTTGTGTGATCTGAAGCGAGGAGAAGCGTGCAAATGCACCTCAGCTCCTCCAGAAGCATTTAGTGGAGGATGTTACCAATAAAATGCTTTCGATAGCAGTAGTGAGTTTTTTTATTTAGTATTTTGTGTGTTTGTTGATAAATAAAATGTATATATTGATTCGTGTTTGACATACAGATGTTTGTTTCGGCCACAGGATGAAAAAAATAAAGGTAATTGCGACTTATCTCACAATTCAGACTTTTTTTCTCGTAATTCTGAGAAGTAAAGTCTGAATTGTGAAAGAAACTTGCAATTACATGAAATAAAGCCAGAATTGTGAGATAAAAAGTATTTTTTTATTTCATGGTGGAAACAAAAGTCAGAAGTGTCATATCTAAATTCAGAACTGTGAGAAGAACTTAATTATGAGATAAAATGTTGCAATTACCTTTTTTAGTTTTTATTTTGTTTGTTTTATTATATATATATATATATATATATATATTTCTCCCCAATTCTTTTCCATCTGTTTCTGCTGAAGAATGACAGAAGTTTACACAGAAAATGTTTAAAGAAGATTTTTGCTAATACCGTGTTGTGTTTGTGCAGTAGCATGTAAATATCATGGTGCATGAATAAGGAAATCATTGATCATTGCATGTTCACTCCACAATATATCATTAAAGCTCGTACCAGTTCTTCCTCATTTACTTTCACTTCATCTGTTTTATTAATACTATACTCTTTCAATAATATTAATGGTGCAGTGATGGGTTCAGATGATTACCAAATGATTATCATATTCATATAACATTTATATGGTGATTCAATGCATTACCAAAAACATGTGATGTCTAATGGTTTATTAGTTTAAGCAGTGTCAGACGGCTCCTCCAGTTAATGTCTTTCTCTCCTTAGAGCTGAATTGGCACAGTTGCAACACTCATCTCTGATTCATTTCAGAGTGGAAATGTTGCCATTTCCTAAACCGATGGCAGCTAAATTTCCCTTGTGTCTTTGTGTTTTCCAGTCATTTGAATTAGTGGCTTGTTAACTGTATAGTTCTGGTGCTGTTCTTTCGGTTAAACCTCATGACAAGCCATTATCTGACAATTGATTTCAAAATGTGAATGACAAACTCGTAATTAGATTTCATCTGAAAGTGGCAGCCAATACAGCTCCAGTGATGAAAACCCCTACGAGTCCTCCTTATGCGGCATAATATCGGCCTTACGGCAGAGGTGAGGTATTATCAGTCACATAATCTTTATTTAATAAAAAAAAGTAATTAGTTTTTGTCGTTGGCTTTCCACAGCATCGTGTCCTTGGAAGAGAGTCACTTCTGCCCTCTTCATCCTAAAACTTCAGCACTCTGAGGCAAAGTCGCGTTTTTACTGGAGCCGATGATCCATCTCGCTGGATTAGCGACGACCTCCTAAACAAACAAATCGCTGTTTTGTTCCCAGTACGGCAGTCGAGCCCTTTTCTGTGTGCGCCCTATAAAGCTGCAGGTGTGTTAGAGTTTAAGAGCGAGCTTTCGTGTCCTTAAATCATTTACCCTCTGCAAACTCATATAACTACAAAACAGTTTAATGTTTTAATCCCCCTTGAGTCGGCCCAAAGCCCCAGATGAGGGGATGCATCCTCACAAAACCACAACCGGCTTCATTAATCACGCTAAAGCTGGCTATATTTTTAACCCTTACCATTTATCAGCCTGAGAGAGCATGACAGTGAGGAACAAACCCCTGCGCCCGCGCGCTCATGGGACGCCGCTGATGCATCGTCTATTCATCCTGTGACTTCTTGCTGTTTTTTTCTGTTTCTCTTTCTTCCCATTCAATTAGGACGACGAGGCGAGAGAAAAGGAGATGGAAGGATCAAGAGATACAGAGACGAGAGAGGGAAGAGAGGAGAAAAAAAAATCCTGTTCCGGTTCCAGACACACTGCCGCTCGGCCCTCCACCAGCTGGGTAAACTCTTCCACGATGCCTGGCGGCGGCGCTGGATAGCCCTCGGTGGACGGCGACGGCTCCTCCGGGTTCGGGGCAGCCAGCAGGAGTCCCCCGTTCCCTGCTCCTCCCCATCATGGTGGACGGCAGCAGGCTCCTGCCTCAGGCGAACGACGGCGACTCCTCCACTCCCTCACAGACGGCAGTCATCCCTCCCCCCCCCGGCACTGCCTCGAGCGTCCATGGCGGCAGATTGCTCAGACACTTTTGTGTGTCTGAGATGCTCATCGTTGGGATGGCTCCGTAATTTGTTGAGTAGAGGTTAGGTGCCAGCACCAGAAGTTTCCTTCGGCCATGCTTGAGGATAGTTAAAGTTCCTGATTTCTTGGTGTTGAGCGACATGCCCACACGCTGTATTCCTCTGCAGAGGCCATCCAATTTCCTCTGGACCTGATCGGGGGCATCGGCCAGCAGAATCAGATGGTCCGCATATGCTATGGCTCCAATCCGTTCCTCCCCCCATGTAATCCCGATGTCGGGAAGTGGCTCTTCGATCACCTCTCCCATCGCCAGGATGAGGAGGATCAGAGATCCTAAAAGAGTCATAGTTACTCCCGTCGTTTACCCGCACTTCATGGTAGGCTGTACAGCTGTGTGGTGTACTGTAAAACTCAGCACAGGATGACTCTTACAACACTGCAGTGACACGGGAGTAAATAAACTGCTCAGAGTTCAAACTGAAGCAGCTCAAAATTTTAGAAAGGCCAAGCCGGAGTCCTGACCTCAATCTGGAGTCTGTTGTGTGATCTGAAGCGAGGAGAAGCGTGCAAATGCACCTCAGCTCCTCCAGAAGCATTTAGTGGAGGATGTTACCAATAAAATGCTTTCGATAGCAGTAGTGAGTTTTTTTATTTAGTATTTTGTGTGTTTGTTGATAAATAAAATGTATATATTGATTCGTGTTTGACATACAGATGTTTGTTTCGGCCACAGGATGAAAAAAATAAAGGTAATTGCGACTTATCTCACAATTCAGACTTTTTTTCTCGTAATTCTGAGAAGTAAAGTCTGAATTGTGAAAGAAACTTGCAATTACATGAAATAAAGCCAGAATTGTGAGATAAAAAGTATTTTTTTATTTCATGGTGGAAACAAAAGTCAGAAGTGTCATATCTAAATTCAGAACTGTGAGAAGAACTTAATTATGAGATAAAATGTTGCAATTCCCTTTTTTAGTTTTTATTTTGTTTGTTTTATTATATATATATATATATATATATATATTTCTCCCCAATTCTTTTCCATCTGTTTCTGCTGAAGAATGACAGAAGTTTACACAGAAAATGTTTAAAGAAGATTTTTGCTAATACCGTGTTGTGTTTGTGCAGTAGCATGTAAATATCATGGTGCATGAATAAGGAAATCATTGATCATTGCATGTTCACTCCACAATATATCATTAAAGCTCGTACCAGTTCTTCCTCATTTACTTTCACTTCATCTGTTTTATTAATACTATACTCTTTCAATAATATTAATGGTGCAGTGATGGGTTCAGATGATTACCAAATGATTATCATATTCATATAACATTTATATGGTGATTCAATGCATTACCAAAAACATGTGATGTCTAATGGTTTATTAGTTTAAGCAGTGTCAGACGGCTCCTCCAGTTAATGTCTTTCTCTCCTTAGAGCTGAATTGGCACAGTTGCAACACTCATCTCTGATTCATTTCAGAGTGGAAATGTTGCCATTTCCTAAACCGATGGCAGCTAAATTTCCCTTGTGTCTTTGTGTTTTCCAGTCATTTGAATTAGTGGCTTGTTAACTGTATAGTTCTGGTGCTGTTCTTTCGGTTAAACCTCATGACAAGCCATTATCTGACAATTGATTTCAAAATGTGAATGACAAACTCGTAATTAGATTTCATCTGAAAGTGGCAGCCAATACAGCTCCAGTGATGAAAACCCCTACGAGTCCTCCTTATGCGGCATAATATCGGCCTTACGGCAGAGGTGAGGTATTATCAGTCACATAATCTTTATTTAATAAAAAAAAGTAATTAGTTTTTGTCGTTGGCTTTCCACAGCATCGTGTCCTTGGAAGAGAGTCACTTCTGCCCTCTTCATCCTAAAACTTCAGCACTCTGAGGCAAAGTCGCGTTTTTACTGGAGCCGATGATCCATCTCGCTGGATTAGCGACGACCTCCTAAACAAACAAATCGCTGTTTTGTTCCCAGTACGGCAGTCGAGCCCTTTTCTGTGTGCGCCCTATAAAGCTGCAGGTGTGTTAGAGTTTAAGAGCGAGCTTTCGTGTCCTTAAATCATTTACCCTCTGCAAACTCATATAACTACAAAACAGTTTAATGTTTTAATCCCCCTTGAGTCGGCCCCAAGCCCCAGATGAGGGGATGCATCCTCACAAAACCACAACCGGCTTCATTAATCACGCTAATGCTGGCTATATTTTTAACCCTTACCATTTATCAGCCTGAGAGAGCATGACAGTGAGGAACAAACCCCTGTGCCCGCGCGCTCATGGGACACAGCTGATGCATCGTCTATTCATCCTGTGACTTCCTGCTGTTTTACTCTCTGTGTCTTTCTTCCCATTCAATTAGGACTTTGGCGATGACGGCTCGCTCTACATTACTAAGGTGACTACGATTCACATGGGGAACTACAGCTGTCACGCATACGGCTATGAGGAGCTGTCCCAGACCCACGTGCTCCAGGTGAATGGTTAGTAGTAGAATCTTTCATATATGTTTGCTGTTAAATGTCTAATGTCTGTTAAAGCTGTCAAATGGATAAATGAAGAAATGAAGCAGTGCACCTTCATTTTTAATACAACAATTTAACTATAGTAATAATTAGTGTTGGTGGTAATGCATTACAAGTTAAATAATCAGATTACTTTTTCCAAGTAACTAGTAAAGTAACACATTACTTTTCAATTTGCAAGAAAACATCAATTACTTTTTCAAATACGTAAGGATGCCTCCACATCATGAGTAGACACGCCCCTTACTGCTGATTGGCTACAAGTTTGTTTTGCTAGTCGGCCCGAATCAGTTTTCTAAAGCGTTTTTGAAAAATCGCTTACCCCACCTTTAAATTGTATTTATTTACAGGGGTGTATTATGTCACAGTTCACGCTTCTCTTGTAAGTTATGTCTGTGTGTGAAGATGCTGCAAGCGGTGGCGTAGCACAAATCCGTAAATGAATGTTCTGAAGTGAAGTAAACTTTACCGGATTTCCTTTGCTCAGTGAGTAGGGAGCAAAGAACACTGTGTAGGGAGCATGTCAGTCGGTACACAGTTCATGCACATAGCTCTCTTCTAACGAGCTGGTTATCTGAATCAGGTGTGTTAACTAAGAGAGACATGCAAAATATGGAGAGCGGGGGTAATGTTACACGAGGACAGGAACTGAGAACTGTTGTATTTAATCAACACGTATTATCATATCGCTCTAATACGACCCTCTGTAATGCAGCTCTGAAATTAAGTATATTGTGAAAGCACTACAAATAAGTTTTACTGGACTTAAATGGAACAAATACAACTTCTCACAAAGAGTTGCTGAACAATGAATCAAAGGAGCGGTTGCTTTATGAACACGGAGAGTGATCGTAACAACCTGCATCACACATAACATTTCCAAACGTGTTTTCATTCATTATTCATGGCGGGAACACTTACAAATTCATGTGGATCGGAAATTATGAATCTGTAACAATAATAAATACAAATGACAAAAGCCAAATTTTGGTCAAGTTGTTTATTTTCATTGAACTATGCTGTCAGCGTTGTATTGTTTAAAGCTGAAAAGCAGAAAGTTGCGCTTCATTTTAGATCCGTTTTCCACTCCGGTCATGAGAGCAGATATGGCAGTTTATAACACAGCAAGCATTCTCCATTCTAATGTGTTTTTAACGGTTTAATATACATTTTAACATCTACCTCCACTATAACTCAATCTCTAATGTAATGTCCATGTCCCAAAGTCCCAGAATGCCGTGCATTGCTGATGTCACGTTCCCATTCTCTATTGTGGTCTATAACTCCTCCCGAACGTTCCGCTGTGCTGTATCTTGCTCTCTCATTGGCTGTAGGTCATCGCAGATGTAGAACTCATTACACACAGCAGGATTTTGAATCGCTGACAGGTCCAGATATTTAGCATGCCTGCATTGGCAGGCTAAATAAATAAAAGTGCATAAAAAAGAATCAAAAACTCTTATGCAGGTATTGAAGAGTTAGAGCAGCCGAGAGTGTGAATGTGAATTTCTCACATATGTGTGGGATTTCCCAAATCCCGAAACAATTTTAATGTCACCTGTGCGTAAATGCCTGGTTGTGTGTGAGAGAGACAGAATGCGCTGTGCACAGATCACTGGTTTTTCAAAGGCTTTTATGCCAAAGACCCCAAGTATAATAATCCCCTTGCAGAAGATATAATTGTATTCCTTAATTACAAAATCAGCTATATTTTTACATGTATCAAAAACACTTTAATGTGTGAGAAAATATCAGGCATCATATTTAATAAATAATTGGCCTTCTTATTGCCACTGTACTAAAGCCGAAGCATTTAATAAAATATTTACCTTGTATGAAGTTACATTTTTTCTCCCCAATATTAGCATAAAAGAAACATTAAATTCAGATTAATCTGTGAAGCACTTTTCTCAATAAATATAATTCCAAAGCAGCATGTTTAAATTATAATGATCAGGCCATGCAGTACCTGAAAAATAATCTGCCAACAATTTTAGAGTGCACTACATTTATTTGTTTTTATTTATTTATTTAAATAAATATTACAAATAAACCAAACATTTTTAGGACTACACCACTGGTTTTAGACCATTCATGAAATGATTTTGTGTGCAACCTGGATGCGCCAGTGAATGCCGGGATATTTGCTAATAAAATGATCATGCCAGAGGAATAGTGTGAGAACTTCATTATGTCTGGTCTCTCTGTATCATCTCAGTCAGCTTTTATGATGTTTCATGAATTCAGTCCCGCATTTTAATATGGTTGCCACTCTTGAAACTTTGCAGTGTGTATGTTGCAGAATGAAAAAATTTATTCAGATTATGAAAGGGTTATAATACAAAGAGTGAGCAAGGTTATATACAGAAAGCGAGCAAAGATGCTCTCTTTATAATCAATGAGGCCAATAGTTTTTCATTTCAGCCGAAGTGCAAGCACACTGAGTGAATGAAAACTCTCGCTATAATCAAAAAAAAAAATCTGTCTATATTGTACAATGAATACTTTGTTGGTTTTAACTAAACCATTTGTGAGCGAGCAGAGCTCACAATGAACAAACTCTGGTGTATTGAGCAGATTCTAACTAAAAAGCCTCTGATTGGTCATTGAGTTCACATGCTCAACAAATATGTCTGTGATTGGCTACAATTGTCAACGCTGCAAACTTCAAATTTCTAAATAAAAACCTTTGATGCTCTTCACACAAATACGGGAACATCTGAAAGCAGCTGCCTATCAGAGGGAACCGGAATGACCCAGCACTGTCAAAAGACTGGTATTGTTATGTTTTTAAAATTAAAAAAGTATTGACTTGGTACCAACAACACTAACCCCAGATATACAGTAAATATAACTCCAACTGAACAAAAGAGCCATTTGTTTGCTTTCAAACCATTTGAAATGGTTCCAATGGAAAATAGTTTTCATCTTTTGATCATTCAATCGTTCAGTAATACAAGGCATCATTCTTCATCGAGGCATATGAAGGCATATAAACAAACACTGTATTGAAACAAAGATAACAATCTTGTTTCCCTTGCTGTATTATATTTGCGAGAGAATAAATACTGGTAGGATTTTCAATTAACAGAGACAATAAGCGTGATTGTTAGAGAGCTTGTTTTGTCTAATTGAGGTACCTCGAGACGGGACGCATGTTTGCGGCTCACATTCATTTCAATAAATGACCGTTTCTGACTTACACAAGGAGGGGAATCCAAAGCAAAGCAAATGTTCTGGCCTTGAATCACTTTCTCTGTTGTTCACAGTCTCTTTGTCCTTCTAGTGCCTCCAGTAATCCTGGTGTATCCGGAGACTCAGGCCCAGGAACCCGGCGTCGCTGCCAGCCTGCGCTGTCATGCAGATGGTATTCCAAACCCCAAACTCACCTGGCTAAAGAACGGCCTGGACCTGCAGCCGCACGGATCCAAGCAGATTTCACTTCTCGGTACGATCCTTGGCAGTCCTTCTGGGAAGCAGGTTTTATTTATTTATTTATTTGACCTTTATTTAACCAGGTGAAACTTTCTGAGATTAAAGGGGTCATCGGATGCGAAATTCACTTTTACATGTTGTTTGAACTGAAATTTGTGTTGGCAGTGTTTGTACACATCCACCCTATAATGATAAAAATGTACCCAGTGTTCTGACTGTGATTCTCAAGATTCTTGACTGTGTGACATCACGCAGGCCCCTCCCACAATTGTTGATTGACACTGGTGTTTTATCATAGAGTGAGCTGTCATCAGTCCGCCATTGTTTCGGCGCCAGAGCAGGAATAGACAAGAATGGCTCCTAAGTGATTGAGGTGTTCTGTTGTTGGATGTAATAATGAACATAGCAGTCGTCATTTACTCCCGACATCTGAGCCGCTGAAGACACAGAGGATTATGTTTGTTTGTGAAGGGAATGCGGCCCCCGATCTACCTAAATGTGTCTATATTCACGTGAATAATTCGTGATCCAGCCTCACCTACAGAAGAAGTGAATAAGTTTTTTTTTTATGAATTCTGCAAATTGCCTTTCCTAATAATGTGCTAGTTAGCAAGTTTCACGATGAATGCGGCTAAAATTTACCGTCTCTCAGAGAACTGCGCAACTGCTCATCACCCTACAGAAGAGGGGGCGGGGTTAGCAGAGCTCATTAGTATTTAAAGGGGCATGCAACGAAACGGCTTTCTGTCAACAGCTGTTTTTGACAGGTTAAAAAGGGTGTTGTTTTACACTACCATTGAGAAATTTTAACCAAAGTATGTTATAGACTTTTCATTAAGACCCTAAAGAGTAATATCAACTTGTGGAAATAATTTTTTTTTTATGAATTCTGCAAATCGCCTTTCCTAATAATGTGCTAGTTAGCAAGTTTCACGATGAATGCGGCTAAAATTTACCGTCTCTCAGAGAACTGCGCAACTGCTCATCACCCTACAGAAGAGGGGGCGGGGTTAGCAGAGCTCATTAGTATTTAAAGGGGCATGCAACGAAACGGCTTTCTGTCAACAGCTGTTTTTGACAGGTTAAAAAGGGTGTTGTTTTACACTACCCTGCACTACTAACTTTACATTTTGTGTATGTGGAAAATGGGCATCCGATGACCCCTTTAAAAAATCTCTTTTACAGAAGTGACCTGTCCAAGATGCAGCGCTACATTTCAGAAAAAGAACACAAAACTCTGTATCCAAAACACAATTAAAAAGATTTACAAGTTAATTCGTCCTTTAACAGCTCATTTATCAAGAATCTAAAAGTGTTCATTGACTCTAAGATCTGCAACTTCATGTTGTGTTGTAAAGAGTTCCAATCATTGGGCGCCTCAAACCAAAGAGCTTGTTTTCCAAGTTCAGTTCGTGCAGATGGAACCGAAAGAGTATACAAGTCCTGTGAGCACAGAGAATAAGCTCCAGGAGCTTTAAGTTGGGTGAGAGAACAGAGATATGGAGGCAGTTGTCAGGCCTCTGTTCCTGTCTCTTGTGTTTTGTTCTCCAAGTTCTAGTTCTCCCTCGTGTTTCCTTATGCCCATATTTGGTTTGGTTTCCTGTTCTCGTTGTCTTATTATTAGTTGATTCCTTGCACCTGTCTGTCCCTCGTTAAGTTTAGTATAAATGTGTAGTCTGCCCAATCCTGCTCCTGGCGATCGACTGTCCTGCAAAGTTCAGCTCCAACCATAATCAAACACACCTAAAGCAACTAATTAAGGTCTTCAGGACCACTTAAAAATTAAAGGCAGGTGTGTTTAATTAGAGTTGGAGCTGAACTTTGCAGGACAGTCGATCGCCAGGAGCTGGATTGGACACCCCAGTTGTAGGGTCTTATGCCGAGTTCACACTGCACGATTTTAGCCCGATTTTTCACTCACCGACAGGTTTTGCGAAATCGCAGACAAATCGGTGCTCGTTCACGCGAGTGACAATCACGCAGTGTGAATTATCAAAGATCTATGGGAATCGCCGACACGTCGTCGACCCCGTGAAATATTTGGCATGCTAAATATCTGGAGCTGTCGGCGATTCACGATCACGCTGTGAGAAATGAGTTCTGAGTGAAAACTACATCTGCGATGACCTACAGCCAATGAGAGACCAAGATACAGGGCAGCGGGAAGCTCGGGGAGGAGTTATATGAAACGTAGTTTGTGGACCAGTGTTGCCAAATCCGTGATTGTCGCCGGTTGTTTTTTATGTCAGCAGGTTGAAGCGACCCCAATAACGTGATATCTAGGCCATGGAATGTGAATTGTACCAGGAGAACCCCGCCAAAAAAGTTAGTATTTTACCCCCCGAACACGATTTTTACTGGGGGACCCCCTCGAAAGCAATTGGGCTGTTTTCAGGCTAGTTTTGAGTAGTAATTGGGCGGGTTTTTGTAGTGAAAACCTGTCAACCTTGCACCAGACAGAGCTGTCGGCGATTTTTCCTATTGTGAAGTCATGCAATGTGAAACCCCCTGTCGCCGATACATCGTGCAATGTGAACACAGCAGCAACTGAATGCTACCCCAGATAGTCACGCAGTGTGAAAACAACGGCGAGTTTGAAAATCATGCAGTGTGAACTCGGCATTAAACGTCATTCCATGTGTGTCTCCTGTGCTCCCTATGTTAGTGTTCCTTTTTATTTGGTTTGTTTATTAAAAGTCAAGTTTTGAAAGTCGTCTCCTCGTTTCCCTCCTACGCACCGTGACAGCAGTAGACCCAAAATGGATTTATAAACCGGTACCAGTGAATACGTCTGTGTGTTGATGACATCCAACCAAGTCTATCATGCAAATCACAATGATGGGTACTAACATTACAATTTAATATAAACCTGAATGCACCATAATACAGAGCATCAAAAGAACCTAAAAGTTTGGTAGACAGTAGATGCGCACTGGGCAGATCATGTAACGAAGCATATGAAAAATATCCTCTGACGCAGCAGTGGTTTACAGCCATTGCAGGCAGCCATTGGTGCTGTGGGAGTGAATTTGCGGCTCCCTGCAAGGACGATGATGATAATAATAAAAACAGTGCATGAAATGATGATAGCAGGCCCAGGCAAATGGGCTCGTTTGGAGGGACCTGTCGATTCCAGCACGGTGCTGTATTGTTTACAGAGTAGCCCCTTATTAGAAAACACTTAATTGGTTTTTGGTCCATTAGACCCTGTAATAGGCTGTTATTTGGATCAGATGCTTGTGCTGCTTAAGTTCTGTATGAAAAGACGAGACCTTCAAGGTCTCATTTCTCTCATTTATTTGTTTCAGCTCCATCGTTTCTCACTGGCTCTGCTTATTTATTTGTTCTGTGGAGGTTTAATGTAAGCGATAGTTTCGAGCATTTGTGTTTCTCTGGCTCTTTATTGGGCATGTCTGTCTGCTTTCATTTCCCTTACGCATTAATATTTTAGAAGCGCTCCTTTCAAGCTCTCTTGTTTCTGTTTGTGTCCACAGAAATATTTACAGCATCAA